ACTAAACTTAACCAGCTCAGCATAACTCAGGGCAATGTATTATAACATCTCAAGTGTCTAAATGACATTGTAGTAGCTTGTAGCAAACCTTAAAAGGTCATCTATACTTTTAAATATCCTGTATTTGAATTGCCTCCTCTGCCTGCCTGTAACTCTTGCATATGTTACCAAGTCTCTTAAAATACTGTTACTTGGTTAAGATTAATCATCTTCCCCTGTTCCTCATGAAAAAGAAAATATACAGAAAGCAAGCAGTTCTGCATTTTATCTGAGGTGCGGATGGGATAGTAGGAAAAACTGTGTCATTACAATCGCTGCGCTGTAGTGGAATAGGTCACCCAGAGAGACTGAGGAATCTCCATTCCTCTTCAAAGCTTCCTAACTAGACAGAGCTATGGCTGACTTGATGTACCATCAGCAACAGGACTAGATGACCTCCAAAAGCTCCCTCTGATCTGTCTGTGATTCAATTCCTCCTTTCCCTGGTATATTAGAAACATGATGAGCCACAGAAAGATGAGGGTGGTGTTGCAGTGGAACTGCTTAGTGTTAAAATTCTCTCTATTGCCTGTTGCTTAGAAAGAGGTTGGGATTTTTTTTTTTTAAAAGTATGTTTGTTTTAACTGAAGAGGGACAAAAATCTTTTTCTTCTTTATTTCTCCAGAGTAGAGCATAGCACAGTGGGGCTAGAAATGCTGCTTTTTTTCAGCTACAGGAGGAAATATTTAAGAAGATGGAATGGAACAGTGAAAAATTTCAAGCATAGTTAGTGCCATTAAAGCATATTACTGCTGGTAGTAACCTGATACTAGTTTTGTCTGGATAAATTATGTCTCTGTCCAGATGGTGAGGTCCATTCTTTCTCACCACAACCAAAAACCCGTAATTTTTGTTGAGACAGACAAGAGGGGCAGTAAAAAAAGGGAAAAGATGTATTGAGCAACAGAACTTGATAACTTCATTAACTGTCTAAATAACTGTCTAAACTATTATATTATTACATTAATTCTGAAAATAAGCTGTAAAAGAGATCCTTATTATTATTATATTATTTAATTTACAAATATAAAAATATAGTACGTTACAGTAATATCAGTTTTGTTGAAACTATACGACACTGTTCTGTCTCAAACAGTATAGCATACTTCATGTCTATTTATGAGCAAGATATTCTACAGACAAAGTGATGTTAATAGAAAACTAAACACAGCAACCTTATTCTTAAAATCCTGAAATGAGGACAGAAAATATACCACAAGAGTCCAAAACTTTGCTACCACCAATGATAAAGCCATAGAGCCCTTTCACTACTACCGAGCAGCTAACCCAGAAGCCTATAAGCTGCTACAAATGTTACAACCATGAAGAAATGCAGACATCAGGTTAAATGAAATCTGTCAAAGCTAACTGATAAATAATTTCTTGACATTCAACTATCAAATTTCCTTTATGTGCCCTTTCAGTATTGGTAATGAGGTGCTTCCAAGCCTTAGTTTAACTTTAGCTTGAGCTCATTAATGCTTTTCCAGAGCTTCTCAATCACCTGGGACCAGGGACAAAAAAAACCCCAATAAAAACCAAACCAAACCAAAAAAAAAAAATCTGGAAAATTGCTTTAGAGAATATTCATATCTTTGCCAGGCATCTGAGCAGCAGCGGTCTGGAAAAGCTGACCTGAAAAGAAAGCAACTGAACCCTCCAGCTATAAAGCTACTGTATTTAACACGTGTTATAACTGGATGCAATTTGAATGGGTCTTGAAGCAAACTGTTGATGCAGCAAGAGTGGTTTATATCTGCTGGCAAATGCTGTGATTGAGTTTGTTCCAGCACTGACCACCTACACTGAAGGCTGCTACCAGTAAACTTAATTTCATTCATTGACGTTACAATGAATATGAGAGTCTGGCACAGAAGTTTGTTTATGAAGCCTGTCATACATGCAGTTGTCCTGCTTTTGTTCTGACCAAAATGCTAAGCATCAGAAAGCTTCACATACAACTTGACAACAGAACTAGACACGTAAGAATACTTAGTAATGGATTCTGTCAGGGTTCTCCTCCTCCACCAAAATATTTTCAATCTTTACACTGCTCATGTTGCATATATTCATATTGCATACACACACATGCACAAAAAAAGAAAAGCTCAATATCCTCAAATCTCAATGCTTTAAAAGTCTGAGCAGGAAACAAATGCCATGGCAGCAGTATCTGCATTTTATATGAACAAAAACAGGTAACGGTAAATTTCTATAGTACTCTATTAGTATGTGACAGCAACCAAAAAGTTCCTAGATTTATATCAGATACAGCTCTTGAACACTAGAGGCACCTGGAGAATATCAAAGAAGAAATAAAAGTATAGGTAATCACCATGCTAGCCAGATCTACCAAGGACAGTCACAAACATGCCCCTGGGTTTTTAGCACAAAATAATGGTCTTGTCTAAGTCATAGTACTGTTTACCTATTTAGCATAGCTTTCAGACAACCTGGCAAACACAGGATTTTTCAAATACTGACACAGAATATTTGACATTTCACTTTGGTTCCCTAATTCCCAATACTTCCAAAGGGTTGCTGGTAGAAGGTTTGATAGTAAAGCAGCTGAAGAATTACATTAGCAGGAAATCAGACTACTTAGTGACATAATACGTACTACTAGCCTAGAAAGGCTTTCTAAACTTTTAGATAGATATCAAGATCTTCTCACAATACCTAAAGGTCTTGGAAAGAGGGATAACTTGTGACAATGAAGTATTTGCCTTTCAGTAATAATGCCTCCTTATCCTGCTTGTAATGATGTATTTTGAGTAGTACCCTAAAGCTCACTGAAGATTCAGATATCTTCTGCAACAGTTGCCATGTTACTTCAGAAACCAGATTATCACCTATGTTTTGTTTCAATCAGGTGTAGAGTACCGACTTACACAAGAAGCATGAAGGGAATTCACCAGGATAAATATGACACCATCAGCTAGTCTAATAACCTTAATGTGGATTCCTAAGTAATGGTTGCTTCCAAAGTATTATGCATAACAACACGAAGTTCTCTGGTATACATAGAACACATTTAACTATAAATGCTAGACAGATAGTATTTACAAAAGCTTCTGCTTTCGTATATTAGAGTACTTATTGCACTCACCTCAACTGACTGAAGTTTTTCATCATGGAGATGAGGTGACCTTGGGTAAATATCAAGAAGATGAGGCGGATCATCAATATGTGTTCTTCTAATATGGTGTTTAAGGACTTCTTTATAATCAAATGAATCAAAGTTGGTTTTCCATAGTAACACCTGTAAGAAGCCATCATATCAGTAACTACTTGAAACCTATTCAGTGGCCAAAACATAACTATTCAGTGAAGTCTGTTATTACTAAAAGATCAGGACGTCAGAATGAGCCTGCTGTCATCACATAGTCTGTTCTCTACTCCAACACAGGCACTTCCCCAGACTATCTTGTACTTCAGGTCTAGTAGCTGTGGTTCAATGAATTTAGAAAACAAAACAAAACACCACCAAAAAAAAAAAACCCCAAACCACCTCTAAAAGATGTCTCAGTCATAAAACAAAGCAAACTTTTGTCCCACTGGACTGTACTAAGTTATTTTTCTGACAAATCAACAGGTCATATACTATCAAATTTCTGTCCCCTATAAAGGCTTGCACATCAAATGAGAATGTTTGAGGGGATAAGAGAAATGACAGAGTTCCACAGAACTCTAAAGCAGCTGGTTCCAGTGTTTTAGCAACAGGAATGTGTTTTCTGAACCTTGTCCAATTACCAAGGTAGAAACAACATACAACAGTCACACCACCACCAAATGCAGAAATAAGGTAGTAGAATGCAGAGGTAAGATAGCAGAAGGCAGTCTATCAAGCCTTATGGATAGACCAGGAAACGAAATCATAACGCGCAATGTTGCTCTCTTGTGTCACAAAACAATTGTATACCTAAGTTATTTAATTAAATTTACCACAGGTTTACATGATTTGTGTTATCTTTGTTACTTTAAGCACTAAGGAAAAAAAGAAAATAAAAAAGGAAGTTCTTAACACTTAGAAGATGGCAGTTTCCAAAAGTCCAATGTTGTTTTTTATAGTTGCTCCCTAAATTAGAGGAAACAAAGATGGGACCATGATCTGACTTAAAATCACTTGCCTGTCCAGCCAAAAATATTTTTGGCAACCATTAGAAGTATTATTCAGAAATTAATAAACTATACTTTTTTATATATATACACATA